AGGATCGAACCCAGTGCCTCACATGTGCAAGGCAGGCGCTCTGCCACTGAGCAGTAGATTAATAGGAGAAGCAGGTCTAGGAAGAATGGCTAGTAACATATCAGAGGCCTACTAAATGTATCTCTTTTTATCCCCCGTGGCTTTCCTGACTTCCTAGACCTTGGAGCCTTTCTGGAGGGCTTTTGGGGCATCCTCAATTCATTAATTATCTTATCTGATTAATTTGCTTTCATAGATGAGGTGACAATTGCTACTTGATTTCTGTAAACTACTGATTAGAAAGTTTGTTGAGAACTCTCTAGACTCCTGGAGACAGCCCATTTCCCTTCTATACCCTGATGATTTCTGGATCATCACTCAGGAGAACCAATGCTACACATGAGCTTGGAGGTGAAGAGAATCCTATATACTCATCTGCCTTTTGAGCCATCCAGTATTTTTTGGAAGCCTAAGCATTTAAAGTAGCTAAAATGTGGGTTTATTGGGGAAAGAGTGAGGCCTCTCATTTAACTAGCTGTACACCCTCTATTGTACTTACTGCAGACAGAATTAATACACAGTTTAGACAACGGCCTATAACCTAAAAACCAGGGACCTTGCCAGATGGACCAATAAAGTTATATTAGGTTGTGAGTCTCATGAAGTGTCATGCATGTGCATGCATGTTTTGGAGATAGAGACTGATGAAACAATTATAATCTCTACTTGTCCTCTTCAGTTTTCAGTTCACACACATGCATTCATATATGTATACCTGCATTAAAAGTTGTTTGCAGGCTGGGATTATAGCTTAGTGGTACAGTGCCTGCTTAGCACATGCAAGACCCTGGGATCAATCTTCAGAAAAGAAGTTGGATAAATTTTAAATCTCTAGCCACTACTGATAGTCTCCCTTAAATAATGTTTCTCAAGGTATGATCTATCATTCACCTATAGCAGAGTCACCTGGGGGAGTTGTTAAAGATGCAGATTCTCAAATGCTGGCTCAGACTTTCCAAAGTCAGAATCCCTGGGTTAAGGCCCAGAGATCCGCTGGGACACTTTCCTAGCTTAAGCCTGAGAATCACTGCCCTTGAAAGTTGCTAGTTGATCAGCTTTGGTTCATTTTTTGCAATTAGAGGCTGAGGCTTAATTACCATAGATTTCATTTCTCTCTCTTCCTCCCTTCCCAAAATGATCCAGGAACTAGCTGAATTACTGGAGGAAGAAAAGCTGAGTTGTGTGCCAGTGCTCATCTTTGCTAATAAGCAGGATTTGCTCACAGCGGCCCCTGCCTCTGAAATTGCGGAAGGACTGAACCTGCACACCATCCGTGACCGAGTCTGGCAGATCCAGTCTTGCTCAGCTCTCACGGGAGAGGGCGTTCAGGTGAGACTACAGGAAGGCTTGGTCCCCTGGCAACATGGCGACCAACCAAGGGGATTTGTCTCATTGGTTGGGGTGACCAAGATAGAAAAAAAAACATGAAACAAATACCCTTTGATCAGCAGATGAACCATTTTAGGATGTGAAGGGTATGGAGGAGGTTGGTTCTTTTCTAGCCAGCAACTAGTCAGATAACCGTGAAGTGTTCCAAGAAAGCCATAGATAAACCACCCCACATGCAACAAGCTTTCCTCATTGGGTGGGCAGCCAGAACAGGACTGTGAAGATGATTTCTAACTCTAGAATTCTTTGATGATTGCATTGGGGTTCTGTGTTGTGTCTAATATTGTACATGCTGAAAACCTGTCCTCCTATAGTGATAGCCGTCGGGCTAGTCATCCTTGAAGTGTTTTTGCTTTTTCTCTTGGTTCTCTCCCCTGTCCTCAGGCTTGGTGTCTATTTCCTGCTCCTGCAGAATGAAAACCCCATGCTTTGTACTAAGGAATTGTTAGCAGGAAAGGAGGCTCCCCCTCATTTAATATTAATTTAGGGCAGAACAGTTATATCTCAGTCACCCAGGAGGCTATATCCTGCAAGAGAGATAAGCAGTTTCAACTCTCAGGCTTTATACTAAGCAGCCTCAAATCAGTTACACAATAGAGTCCACCCTCCAGGACAACTACTTGTTCTGAAACCCCAGTGTCCCCAACAGGCCTCATTTTAAATATGTGGTATACTTGCCAGGATGCCAGAGTGCTGTGGGACTGGACCCTACTGCTATAGGATACTGAGGGGCTTCTTCCCTCATTGTCATAGGGCACATGTCTCTAATGGCATGAGCAGTTTGCTTCTCTCTGAACTTGGTGTTGGGGTGCAAACTTGAGATTTGATTCTTAACCGTTGTTCTACGGCCTCTTTCCATTTCCCTTCTGATATTCTTTGTCCCTCTCTTCTTCTAAGACATTTCATACTAATTTGTCTTAAAATGGCCTGGCTGCTTTTATCCTAAGCAGATAATCACTTCCTAGAATTATCTCAGTCCTGTCATGTTTGCAGCCTGTTTTTTGTTGTTGTTGTTGTTGTTGTTGTTGTTGTTGTTGTTATTGTTGTTAATTGTGGTGTTTTTTTTTTTTGCTTTTTTTTGTTGTTGTTGTTGTTCCAAGGATTGAACCCAGGGTCACCTAACCACTGAGACACATTCCAAGCCTTTCTTTTTTATATTTTATTTAGAGATAGGGTCTTGCTAAGTTGCTTAGAATCTTGCTAAGTTGCCAATGTTACTCATGGTGAACTCAAGATTCTCTGCCTCAGCCTCCTGAGCCACTGGATTATAGGTGTGCACCACCGTACCCAGGTTTCCTTTCTTTTTACAAACAAGAGCCAAGATGTTTTGGCTCCTAGACCTGAGGGAAAGCCATTCCACACAAAGGAAGTGCCCCTCTACAGGCCACTCATGCTTGCACCCCAAAAACTCTTCATGCACATGAGTGTGTTGGGGGCCTCTTTGGTGGTCTGAGATTACCTTAGCTGCAACCCCAAAATGGGTTCTGGAGCTCTATGGGTTTCTGTGGGGTTTGGGGGAATTGGCTTTTTTATTTTGGGTTGCGTTTTTTGTTTGTTTCATTTTGTTTAGTCTTATTTGTTTTCTTTCTGTCTGCCCAGATTCTGATTGTGAAAGTAATATATTCTCACTGTTAATTATAAAGCATATAAAGTTGAAAAGGGAGGGCTGGAGGCTGGGGTTATGGCTCAGTGGTAGAGCACTTGCCTAATATTTGGGAGGCACAAGTTTGGCTTTGATCCTCAGCACCACATAAAAATAAATAAAGGTATTGTGTCCATCCACAACTAAAAATTTTTTTTTTTTAAAGTGGAGGGGAGGGCTGGAGGTGTAGCTTGGTGATAGTGTACTTCCCTGGCACGTGCAAGACCCTGGGTTCCATCCCCAGCACCACACACACAAAAAACAAAGCAGCCGTCATCTGGGATGCACCTTCATTGAAACAGTCCTGGGCATCCTGAAAACCTAGAGGCCTAGTCCTGTAGCTACTTTCTTGCATTTATAGAAAATGCTCCAGCAAGAGGACTCTGCCTGTCTAAATAGTTCAGAACACAAAATTAGAAAGTTGAGAACATCCTGAGATTGGGGTCTATAAAGATGGGGCTAAAGAAAAGAAATATATTTTGGGTGCCTACTCATTAGAAAGTAGATTACAGCTCTGTAATCTTTTCTCTTGGCCAGAGTGGTGAGAGGATGAAATAGCAAAGCCAGAATTAACAGTGAGGCTCCTATTTCTTCAGCCAGCCTTAGGCATGTAAAAAGGAGAACTAGAGTGATCTAGAGTCAGTATTGACAGCAGTGGCCTTAAAGTCAAGGGCACTGCCTCAGAGGAGCCTGCTGGAGGAGAGGGAGCTCCTGCGACCCATCCCCCACCCACACTCCAGTCAGGATGGAGCTGTGTACTCCCGGCTGTGGAACTACCATAGACATGTCATGCCCTTTACAGGGTCCATTTGTCCTCCTTCCCTCCCTTCCTCCCTCCCTCCCTCCCTCCCTCCCTTCCTTCCTTCCTTCCTTCCTTCCTTCTTCCTTCTTCTTTCTTCTCCTTCTCACAGTGCTAGAGGTCAAGCCCAGGACCTCTCCTGTGCTAGGCAAGCACTGTGCCCCTGAGCTGTATGTCCCCAGCCCCCTTTACAGGATCCTTAGGTCAAGAAAGAAGCAGCTAGCACTAGACAGTGAGAAGGTGGGGACAGGGGTTGCACAGAAGGGACATAAAATAGACCAGTTTGAATAAAGTGAGTTTATTATGTATAGTTTGATTTTGGTAAGAAAGTTCTCTGATCAGAGGCCTTCGGCAACCAGGCTCACAGGAAGTGATATTCAAGAGAGATCTAGCAAAGAACTATGAGCAAAAAAAATAATGATTTTGTATGGAGGAGAAATAGTTTGAAGGTCACATAATTAGTTTAGTAGATAGTACCGTGGTGTATAGAATTGGGTAGTTAAGACTGGGATTTCAAGGTTAATGAGATTAGATTATGGTTAATAGAATGATATAAATTTAGAGAATTTAACCATTATTTGAAATGGGTTATTTAATAAAAATGTTAATTAAGAAGGGAATCTGCTTTCTATTGTCCTTTAATGGTAACCTTTGGGGACCAGAGAAAGGTCATGGATTTTTTCTTTGGAAACACTCTTCAATATGAGGCACTGATTGACCATGTCCCTCTCTCAGGTAATGCCTCTGACCTAAGCTCTTGTCCACTCAGCCATTTTCTTGGTATTTCACTTTTAAAAGAATCACTTAAATGGAATCCTTTTCAGGATTGCATCATTGAAGTACAGGCCTTTAATGATTTTTATTAATAAGGATTAAAATATTCCTAAAAATTAAAGACTTAACTAGAAAAATATCTGTAAGATCTAATTGTTTGGGGTTCACTCTTAGGTACTGTGTAATAATTATCAAGATATTCTAAATTTCTATTTGTCCTCCTTACCCTATCCTACCTCCCCAGTAACAGACAATGCCACCAAAATGATCAGATGCTCAATAGGTTGGTCAGGTAACATTGGGCACCACAGCTCTTTGTTGTTGTTTTGGTACTGGGGATTGAACTCAGGGACTCTTAACCACTGAGCTACTTCCCCAGCCCTATTTTGTATTTTATTTAGAGACAGGGTCTCACTGAGTTGCTTAGCACTTCGCTGTTGCTGAGGCTGCCTTTGAACTCAATATCCTCCTGCCTCAGCCTCCCAAGCCAATGGCCACCAAGCCCAGCTTGGGAACCACAGTTCTAATGAACCTGAAGAAAAATGTAGGAAATTTAAAAAAAAAAATTAAAATCTGGAATTTATGTTCAAGTTGCAGGTGTTAAAAGATAGCATTTACTGGGTGTGGTGGTGCACACCTGTAATCCCAGCAAAAGGCTGAAGCAAGAGGACTTCAAGTTCAAGGCCAGCCCGGGCAACTTATCTTATAGAAACCCTGTCTCAGAATAAAAAATAAAAAGGCCTGGGGATGTAGCTTAGTGGTTTAGCATTTCTGGGTTCAATAACCATTACCACAAAAGAAAAAAAAAAAAAAGACAGCAATTCTGTTTGTGTTTTGTGTGTGTGTGTGTGTGTGTGTGTGTGTGTGTGTGTAATCAACATGTATCTGGGAGATTTGTCTCATAGAAAAAATTGACAGGACCCCATGTGGGCAAGTTAGGGGAACAGGCACATATCTGCTAGATGGTGTACTCAGCCCTCTATGGACTAAGCAGTATATCACTTCTCATTAGTTGAGTGACTTAAACGCATGATTTGAGATCACGGAAGTTGGTGACTCCTGGGATGGATTTTAGGGTCTTGTTCCACCTGATATTCCCAAAGGAGATGTAGTCTTTACAAGGTGAGTAATACCATGTGTTGTTCAACATCCCCACACTGGGTGGGGACATTGGCTTTTGAGGGCATTGAGAACAGTTGGAACAGATCTGTCTTTGCCTGATTGATGGTGAGAGGAGGCCAGCCCGTCATGTAATTAAAGCAGGTTTTCATGGGAAGCTGTCAAGAGCAGAGAACAGGTAAACGGCACAAGGTGCTGGAAGAGAACATCAATCTTTAAAGTTCTGTCCTACTGAGAGGCCCATAGTCCAGAGGCGTGATCAGGAGAGACCCAGTTATGTCAAGTAGATGAAGGCAGGAAATGGAGGAACTGAAAAATGTCTCAAGGGATAACCTAAAACTCCCTCCCCAGACTCCCTTATAAACCCGGAAGAAGCCACCTCTGGAGGCCACACCTTGCCGCTAGGGCCTCTCCCAGGGTATAGCATTTAACACCAGCACTATGTTCCCTTCTTTTCCCATGGATATTTAGAAAATAGTGAACAAAAGATCTGGCTTAGAGCCAGGAAAAAGGTATCAAGAATCCATCCCTCTTCCACCTGCAGACCTAAGTTTGAACCCCTAACCACAGCTGTTCTTGCTGTTGTAGTTTCAGGTGTTTGAAGGT